AACGCAGGATTTATATCAGCAGCCGTGCTGCTAGAAATTGACAGCACCACTTTCTCTCTCGCGCCACGTGTACGCCTACCGTAGGGTCCTTGAAAACTGGAACCGAAACTGAGACACTGCCATCCAAGCCATCTTTTTCCTACATGTCCCATACCCGCCGCAGGAGTACAGAAGGACCAATGAATCAAGGAGATACGAACCCATGCCCTATGGAACCCCAGAATCTCTAAACCCCACACACTAAGGCTCAGAACCCTAAACGCCCCGAAGGTGTAAACCCTTCCCAGGAGTAACAACCCAAAACTCTATATAGACCTCAAACTTCCTTCCCAGGAGTACAACAAGATCAAGGAAAAGATGGAGAAGAAAGCCGAGGAGTTCAAGGAGTTCGAGCGCCAGGACGCTCCACTGGACTGAGTAAAGCTCCTTCTGTCTGTGCGTAGGATTTTAGGGTCTAAGGTTTGGGGTTTANNCCCCCCCCCCCCCCCCCCCAGATACCCTTTAATACAGCTTACTTAAGATGATGTAGGTGATAACCGCCTTTAATACAGCTTACCTACTAGCATGTATTTGATAGACGAGGGTAGTTAGAGGGTCTAGGCAAGGCTTCAGGCTCAGGTTTAAAGGTTGGTCTTGGGAGCTTCGGGTCTGCAAAACAAGCTTTACCTTTACCCCGTTTAGGGTTTAGGGTTTGGAATTTGGGGTTGGAGGGGTTGGGGTTTGTATGTAGTAATAGTCGCCCTTTATAGGGTATTGGGGGCCATTAGTTTACCTACTTTAAGAGGTTTAGGTAGCCATCAACAGACTCTGGTATGCTTGGCAAGGCAGTTGTAGGATCTACGCCAAGACCGCAAAGTCCCTTCATCAAGAAATACTCTTGGGATGATACACGAGTCTAGGACGCATTGCTCAATAAAGGTGTTTTGAAGTCTCAGGGTACATAAGAATGGTATCTGCAGTGAAGTCCCTGACACGAGGCTTTCGAGAGAGGCTTTGGTGTTCGATTTGGGGTCGTCAGCTAATGCTTTCATCACTGTACGACCCTGACACACTTTGGAGTTTGCAAGCCCTAAAAACCTGAAAGGGCTTGTCTGAGTCAGATATCCTCTGGGTATTCTTCAGAGGTTTTCAGAGTATTGGTGCCGGTCTCCTTCTACTGTGGTGGTCTTCGGTTTATTCGTTTCAGTGTTTAGTTTGAGGCATTTGCTGCACTTCTTGCTTTGGAGTTGAAAATGCACTTTGCATCAAGCCACAAGACCTAAACCCTTAACCCGAAACCCGAAACCCGAAACCCAAGGCAATCCCCAACCGCGAAACGAAGCCTTGCAAGGCCGTGGCAGGATGGATGACAGTCTCATGGCAAACCCTAAACCCTAAAACCTTAAACCCCAAACCCTAAACCCCAAACCCTAAGCCCACAGCAATCGAAAGCCGTAAACCCTTGAAAAACAAAGGGTTTAGGGTTTGTAGGGTTTAGGGGTTAGAGTTTAGAAAGTTTAATTGTCTAGAGTTTAATCCAATATGTACGACCAGGAGGTACTTCGGAGAGTGGCGGGGGCGGAATGCTTACACACCCTGTGCAAGCCATGGCAAAATCCTCTAAACCACCCAAAACCCTAAACTCTATAAGCCCGAAATCCTAAACCCAAAGCCCTAAACCCTAAACCCCTAAACCCTAAACTGGGGCAGGACGTGAAGTACACCGAAGACATCGCGTTCCAGGAGCAGAAGCTCCAGAAGCTCTCGCAGGTGCCAGAGTTCCTCAGTCGGGGTTTAGGGTTTAGGGTTTAGAGTTTAGGATTTAGGTCTTAGGGTTTAGGATTTAGGGTTTAGGGTTTAGGGGCCTGGGTATTATGTGTTTTGGGGGTATGGTTTAGGCTAACTAGGGGTTTAGGGTTTGGGTGTTTTTTGTTTAGGCTAGGGGTTTAGGGTTTGGGGTTTTCTAAGAGGTTGAGTTTGGGGTGTATTTAATCAGTCCCGTAAAGGTTCTGTAAGGGTTTAACTTTTTAACCATGAGGTTTTGCAAGCTTAGCGGTTAATGTTTGCATCATTGGGGTTCAGGTTGTTAAGTTTGGGTTGCACCTAGGTGTTAGTGCCATGTGTGCATGCATTCTCTGTGATTTTCTGTGTGGGTACGGTAGTATTCTCGTGCGATGATCGTCAGCACTGCTACAAGTGTCTCCGCCATGTACTTTCGCACAGTTGCTCCGAGTTACCTCTCTACTATAGCGTCCACTTACCCAGTAATCATATGCCCCCCCCCCAAAGAAAGCGCAACAACACTAACCGCTTCATACTACCGCTATCCTAAACACAAAACCTTGGACCAAGGACAACCTGTGTCTAAGCCCTATAGAAACCTTAACCCTCATAGAATCCTTGTAGAACCCTTATAGAACCGGTAGTATCCTAAGCGAAGCACAGAGCCGCAGGTGCGGGAGCAAGAGGAGGAGCGCGCCAAGCAGCTCGTGAAGGCATCCGGAAGCGTGGGATGGATCAAACTTCACTTAAAGCTTAGTACTACGGTTTTGGGTGATGTGAGAATCTCAGTTTAAGGCATAGACCCCAAATACCATCGAATTCTGACAATGGACGCCCGTGCTGCGAACGTGAGAAAACCTAAGCTTGCATGCCCCTGACGACAGTAACGGAATATTGATGGTTATTAGGTGATGTGGACCTCACAACTCGAATCAAAAAATGAACCCTTACCTCTACAACCATCGACCTGAATTTTATAAATCCTAAATCCTATCAAAGCCTCACTTACAGAACCTTTCGAAGAACCCCGAATCCTCTCGAAAACTTTCCTCTGGCTCAAGCCCAGCCGTTTCTGCTCGCACTTGGCGAGTGTTCTCTGGCGCCATGGCTTTCGAAACTCAGTTTGCTGAGGCCTGGGTTTCTCACAGGGAGCTAGCGGGCTTTGTAAGGATCGTTTAGCCGTTTCAGTTGGTTTTAGAAGGAATCCACAGATGTGAGCTATTGGGATTTATACGGTTTATAATGCCTTCATCAGCTGTCAAGTCTTTCTTTTGTGGTGGAGCTTGGTTTAAGATTTAAGATACCGAAATCGGCATGTTATAATGTAGTTGTCGTAACATGTCCTGGTTTGTGTAACTTGGCTTAGTGGGAACACTCGGCGTCGGAAATACTTGTGGTCTTGCCAACAGTCGTCAGAAAAGTTTGCGCCGCGATGCGGATGCAAAAGTACACTCCAGCCACTTCCCGGCAACGAGCGGCACCAGCAAACACCCGAACTCCGCATCGGCTCCTTTCCAAGGAAGCCTAAGGTAAGGGTACTGAAGCCCCCGTAAAACCCGCGCCAGATTGAGCAGAACTCCTGCCACCTTCTGAGCTGCTGCTGTGTCGGCCTCTCCTGTACAGCATGCAGTGATCCTTGCTGTCTCTTGGCGCGAACTCGTTGGTACACTGTGAATTGACACCCCGTAGCCAACAATCTGAATGGTCGCCTTTGAAGCCAGCACAGTGCACATGAGCCACGTCTCGCAGTAATTTAGATGTTGCATGAAGCATCATAATGGGGCTGGCGTTTGTCAGTTGTGTCAGGAGCAACTTTAACTCTAGATATCTACCCTTAACCCTATCTGCCTGAAGCCCCAGCCCTAAACCCTAGGCCCTAAACTCTATTTGCACGTGACATGAAACCCGCCACTGGCATCTCTGACTAAGCCTTAAAAACTTATGAGTGAGAGACCGTCGTTTTAATTTGTTGGCTGCCTCACTCCGAAGGGTTTAGGGTTTGGGGTTTAGGGCCTACAGGTTCCCACCCCATGTCCCGAAGGCCGGAGATCATTGCTAAGACCAAGAAGCCTCGTTTTTGTTCTAGGGTGCATCTACCTCTTGGGCAAGGACTTCATATAGGCTCTATGTAAGGGTACTGCTCTAAGACAGGCATCTTCGATGTTTTACAACTTTACACACTGTCTCAGGTATGGACAAGCACAAGTTGTGTTGCTGCGCAGGAGCAAGTGTTGGAGAGCTAGTTGGAATAACCCCCAACCCCAAAACACGAACTTGAACCCAGAAGCCTAAACCAAACTTACATCCTGCATAATTGCTTAACCCTCAACGATTGATTTTTCACATCTACAAGCATGAGCCCTTATGAGGGTTCAGTACATTCCCCTTTTTCTGATAGGTTCCCCGACAGTTGGTAGCGGGTAACGGATCTAAATCCGATTATGTAGGGATCGGCTTAATCGGACGTTGCTGCCAGGTTTCTGTATTCGAACAAAACCCTAAAAGAAACTCTAAATGTGTGCTTCCTTGCTCTTTCTGGTGAGCCCCCGAGCCGAACCGATCCTCCAAAGTTCTCTTGGACCGAGCCCTCATGACCCTGAATGAGGCTGGTCTATTGTAGTTGGGGGTCTACGGCTGATAGGCAGAATCCTTCATTGTCCATACTTAAAGGCCACATCCCGTGGCTTAGGCTAGTTAAGGGCGTGCAGGATGCCGTCCATCAACCGAATGTCGGTGCGGGAACCTTCAGACAAAGGACGTGGAATCAATCCGCCTGTCTGCATCTTTCACCCCCACCTTTAATAGTAAGTCTGTTATACTATTCTGTTCACTTCCTGTCTATGTTATGTTGAGGAGTACAAGCACTGATGTCCTGTCAAACTACCTGCGCAAAGCCTGTCCACCACGAATGAAGCAGCCTAAACCCGTAAAAACTCCGAAACTCCCACACCTCAAAAGACAAGCTAAGCCATAAACCTCTCACCCACATCTGCGCAGGAGGAACCACGTCCGGAGAGGACTGCATTGGCGAGAAGGGCTGTTGGACAGGCTTCGGAAAGACTTGCTGCTGGACACTCGGAGTGAATTGACGGAAGACGGACCGGCCCAACGTTTAATCGCGAACCCCCTGTGCATGCTTTCTTGAACTTCTTCACCCCCTGCGCATGCTACCTTGAACTTCTTCACCAAACCCATCATCATGATCATCATCATCAGCAGCAGCAGCAGCACCATCACCATCGTCATCGGCATCGTATTAAGCATCATCATCATAATCATCATCATGGCCATCATCATCATCATCATCATCACATCACCATCAGCAGCACCATCTTCATGATCATGACCATCGTCATCATCAACATCATCATCAACAACATCATTTTCACTTCCATCATCATCACCATCTTTATCAGCAATATCATCATCAGTATCATCTTCAGTCTCTTCATCATTATCATCACCGACATCACCATTATCATCATCGTCATCATCCTCAGCCGTCGGGATCCCCTGCCCCACCGGCCGCCCACCCTGCCACTCCCCGAGTCCGAATGCCGCTGGTGATGATGATGATGATGATGATGATGAAGAGGATGAGGAGGAGGACGACGATGATGATGGCAATGACGATGATGTTGCTGTTGATCTTGATAATGAGCCGATGCGAAGACGTCCGGAAAGAGCGCATCCGACATCACACTTTCAGATGGGCAGCTTCGCGTCCTCTGTAGCAGGGAACCCGCTGTAATTTTCGGGGGGTTCGGATTCTACTTGCGCATGCTTGTGCCGGGTTGCGCTGAGAAGCGCTACGGGAGGCAGTAAGGTTTGTGGTGGAGGTTTGGAGGTTTGGGGTCCATGGTCTAGGCTTTCAGTGTTATGGCTCGTTTAGGCTTTGCGGTTTCGTGAACCCCACTGAAACCCGAACCCTTGCAAATCCTTGCAACATCTCCACCCCCAACTCTGCCAGAGGTTCAGGGAATGGTAGACGCATGAACTCCTGTGCCTCCGCAAGTGTCAGCCCTGTAGCCACCAGATCATCGCGAGTCACCAAGCCCCAAGTTTTTCAATCATGCTTCGACGAGTTGTTGCTTGGTGGTGGTGGGTTCCTACACCGTATATTGTATGCACTTGGCTTGAACTTTACCGCTGCTACTGGTGCCTGAAATTTTATGCACCACGACAATCCCAAAGCTGCTGCGTGCCTATGCATGTAGTGGTGCGTTGAAGTTCAAAGTGCCTTCATAGGAACCTTTTCTGGGTGTTCGAGGTCCTTCTAGCGATATGTATGTATATATATATATATATACATACCTTTCAGAAGCATGGAAACACTAGGGCTTCGGGTTCCTTAGGTAGGTGTTATACGGTTACCTCCTCAGCGAGTCATGGCCCGACGAAGGATTCAAAAAGTAGATTCCTTAAGGGGGTTCCTATAAAGTACCCTTTAGTAGTTAGGGTCCCAAATTAGGGGATCTACTTTTTGACCCTCCCGGGGGTCTGGGTCAGCGAGTCATGGCCCGACGAAGGATTCATGCGTGCTCCACCAACAACATGGCGCTGGGCTGCTGCAACACCTTCTTCATGGGGCGACCCTATGGTGCCGTGGGAGGGTTTAGGGTTTAGGCTTGGCATTGCAGACTTTCCTTCGCGACTCTGGAATCTTCCGAACATGAGGTGCGCACACACAAGCCGCAGCAGAGATGTTACCCAAAACGGAGCCCTGAAAGGCACCCTAAACCCCATGGTAACACCTCGAAAATCCATGTAGACTTGATAACACCTACTTATGTATGCAACCCTTTAAGGTACCCTGTAAAAAGGAATCACACATGAACCTAAACCCTAAACACCTAAACC